AGAAAAAGAGAAAGAAAGAAGATAGAAAGAAGGTTCAATAAAATAATTCTTTACCAAAAAACCCCACAAAAGATATAGCAGTTGTACACCTACAGTCCTGGTACAGTTCCTCTTGCAGTCAGAAACTTTTTAATATATATATTTAATTCCATTTGTTATTATTATTTATTTTACCAGAGAGAGAGAAAGGGAAAGTGAGAAAGCAAGCCGCTAGGTCCGGGACTCGAACTTGGTTAGCCATGTGGGAGTCCAGCGCCTTTAACCACCACTCCACTTGCCGGCTCCCCAGAAACGTTTTTCTTTCAGAGATGAGAACATCGAGCTCAGAGAGGGGCAGTCACTTCATTAAAATTTCACAGCCAAGAGTCAGAGCTGGGACCAGAACTCCCAACTCTGGACTCATTTTCTACCACTTTCAGGAGACCTGGTTGAGAGGCAGACAGGCAGCACAGGGGGCACCTTGCTGGGCGTGTCTCTCTGGGGAGTTTCCTCACTCTTCTCCTTTGGGGGTCATGTCTCTGAGGTGCCTCCAAGGAGCCCTCACTGCATCTTAAACGGTACAGGGGAGGGGTCTCAAAAGCTTACGAATCGTGCCTATTATGACAGAATTACTCAGATTTCATTTGTCTGCGCCAGAATAAATTTGTACTTGAGTCTCTTTACAAACTGTATCTTTATTTAGAGTTATTTTATTAAACTTCATTCATTTGATTCATTTATTTTAATTTGGCCAGAGAAGGACAGAGTGAGAAAGAGAGAGGGAAAGTGAGAAAGCAAGGGGCCATGTTTGGGACTTGAACCACGGTCAGACATGTGGGAGTCCAGTGCCCTTAACCACTATGCCACCTGCTGGCCCCCCAAACTGTATCTTTTTAAAAAAAGATGGCTTATTTGATTAAATTATTATTATTGTTTTTAATTTGCTACAGGACATGTGCCTCTGCAGGGGTGGGGGAGGCAGGCTTAGGGGTCACGGGGCCATGCTGCTGGCCCTGGTGGGGGCAGGGAGCCCCTCTTGGGCATTGCCAGTCCAGCCGTCTTGCCGCAGCCCTGTCTCGGCTGCCCGTTGTTGCCTTAGCTCTGCACAGGCGTATCCTGCTCCTCTCTTGGGAACACCCCTATGGCCCCCCTTCCGCTGGGGTTGATGCCCTTGCTGGCCCCTCAGGCTGGGCATGGCCGGGGCCTCACTCCTGCTTCTCTGTGAAAGCCCGAGGTCCTCTGTGGCCTTTCCTGTAAGGATCCCTGGGATTCCCAGATTGGCCAGGACTGAGCTGGAGAACAGGCGGGGAGGGGGAGGAGGAGGGGAGGAAGGAGGAGAGAGAGAAGGGAAGAGGGGGAGGAGGGGGAGGCTGGCTGGTGACTCACAGGGAGGGTGGCCTGGCCTGAGGCTGAGAATGCCCCTCTGTAGACAGGGCAGGCTGAAGCAGCCAGTCTGCAGGTCTGAGCATGGCTGTGTGTCCATCCAGACAGGCAGTGGTGGGCTTTCTGTCCCCTCGCCCTCCCAGCACCCCATCTCTGAGCCAGCCCTCCCTCCTGTGTTCTGGTTTGCGGCGGGCCTTTGCTGGGTGGGAGTCTCAGGTCCCCTGCCTCCGCGTTGTCGGGCTTCTCATGGTCCACCCCAGGGTGTTTCCTGGGTGGAGCCCAGGACAGGCGCCCGGGGAGTAAGCCCCAGCGGCAGGAACTAGCCCGGGGTATGGAGGTGGGCCCCCAGTGCTGTGCACAGGAATGTGGGTTTACTGCGGTAGTGAGTGGGAGCCATGGGAGGTTCTTGAGCAGATTCCTGCCTTGGAGAATTCACTCCCTAAGAGAAAGGGGTTGCCAGGGAAAGCGTGGGAAGGGCTGCAGGCAGGCCCAGGGCTGGATGGGAGAAGGCAGAAGTGGTGAGGGATGTGTGGGGGGGGCAGGACAGGTAGAAAGAGAGGAGGGGAGACTTGGAACCCCGGGGGCGCCTCTGCCCAGCCCTGGTGCTTCCTGGGAGGATGTGCAGGGACCGCCGGCCGCGGCCTCTGGGTTTTCCTGCCCGGTGGGGCAGGATGCGGTGCCCGCCAAGGGTGCCTTTCTGAATGAGCCGCTGACTCGGCAGACGGCAGGGCTTTGAGGCCGCCAGATTTCGGACCGGAAGCGTCTGGAAAGGAAGCGGTTGCTGAGGGCTTCCCCGCTGTGGCCGGCCACCGGGCTGGCCAGGATGCCAGAACGGGCAGGCGGCTGAGGGAGTCCCTCGGCTGCTCCGGGCTGTGTTCGCCTGTGCGGGCTGTGTTCGCCTGTGCGGGCGGGGTGCCTGTGGCCGGGCCTGGTGCGAGGGCAGTGGTGATGGTGGCGTCAGGGAGGGCGGACAATCCGGCAGGACTCTGGGCTGTGCCAAACACAGGTGACAGCAGACGCGACAAAGCACGCTGCTTATCTGGTCTGCAGTTGTGTCTCCTGTAAACACGGGACCAAGGCGAGCACTGGCTCCGGCAGTCACGGGTGCAACATGCTTTGGTTACTCAGCACCATGCGGCATGTGCTTATGTGGCTCAGTCCAGGCGGGCGGTGAACAGGGGCCAGCTGCTGTGGACCAGGGAGAGGCTCGTGTGGCCTGTCTGGTCTGGGCCTGGGAGAGGGCTGTGCCCAGGGAAATCTGGGTCCCCTGGCTCAGGCCTGGCCTGTGGCCTCAGACCTGCCCCTCACTCAGGTCTGACTCCAGCCTCGGGCCACCCCAGTCCTGGCCGTTGAAACCCGGGTGTAGACCAGCACACCTCCCCTCTCTCTTGAGCCCCCTACACGTGAAATTGCCTTGGACATTTTTGCAGTTGCCCTAACTCCGCCAGCGCCAGAGGAGGGAGAACCGGTCTATGTTCTCCGTCTCGATGGACACGCCCTGCTCACCAGGGCCCGAAATGACAGACGCCCTGCCCCCCCTTTCTCTGTTCTCAAGTTCAAATGTTTCAGACCAGCTTCTCCCCTTCCGGCCCCTGTCAGGCACCCACAAATGCTGTCAGAGTAATCTTGATGACGTTCGGTTCTGACCAGGTCTGTCCGAGAACTCTCAGTGGGTCCCAGCTGCCTCCTGGGTAGAGGCCACGCCTCAGCCTACAGCTCCACCAGGCTCCCACCTGAGCCCCTGTCCTCTGCTGCCGGTGACTGTCCTGCGCCTAGTGGTCCTGACACATCCTTGCCTTCCCACGGCCCACCCTGCTTTGTGCTCTTCCAACAGTGGATCTCAGCTGCCCCCGCCTGCCTGCCTCCCACAGTCATCCCTCACAGGGACCTCTCCACTGAGGGCCGGGTGGGGTGTCGGAAGGAGGCAGCCCTGGAGGGCGATTGCAGCCTCCCAGCCTGTTACAGGGGACGATGTGGGACAGGGCTGGGGAGGCCCTTGGAGACAAAGCTGCGTTTTCTGTGCTTTGCAGGTGGGTGCGGCCTCACACCACGGAGCACCCAGCTCCAGCCGCCTCGTAGGAAGGTGCAGCTGGAGCAGCCGCAGCATGGGGGTGCGCGTGGGAGCAGCCCTGGGCGTGCTGTGCTTCTACCTTACAGGTGAGTGGGCACCTGGCGCCTGCGGGGGGCGGGGCAGGCCCTCCAGGGCTCCTGCCAGGCTGGGTCTGTCCAGCTAGCCACACTTCCCCCGCGGGGACCGACAGGCACCTTACTCCACCTCTCCTGCCTCCATTTCTTTCTTTCTTTTTTTAGTTTTTGCTGTAGGGCGGATGTGCTTGCCCGGGAAGGGGGTGGGAGTGAGAACTCACCCCCTTGGGGAATGGCCAAGCTGCAATCCTTTCTCTTCTGATCTTCTCTGGGGATTCTGGGCACGGACATGCACGTGCCTGGCATGTTTTTCAAGCTGCCAGGTCCAGGACTCGCACTGCATAGGAGGCGGTGTGGGATGCGGTGCATTAACCTCCACACCACCTGCTGGCCCTCTGAAGTGGGAGTGTGAGCACTGACTGACGATGCTGGTTCCCGGGGTGTGTGCACCTTCCTCGGGGCCTTCGCATGTACTGTCCCCGCCTGGAACGTTCTGCCCCCAGATGTGTGCGTGTGCACGACTTGGTTGCCTGACTCCGTTCAGGTCTTTGCTCAAATGACCCCTCCTGGGCGAGCTGGCCCGGGGCGACCTTGCACACCAAGCACTGCCCCATCCCCCTCAGGCCTGCTGCTTCCAGCACCTCCGCACCTGTGCACCTGCCGCCTTCCAGAGCATGTGTGCCCACAGCGTAGTGGTTGCCCAGGAACCACGTGGGATGAACAGCATGCGTCGTCCACACAGTGCGTGGCAGGGAAGCAGCACCCCAAGTGGTAGCGAGTGTAACATCCCCATCTCACTCCGCAAACCTGCTGAGAAGGCCGGCCTCCTCGGTGCGGAGGGCAAAGCTGGGTGCCGGGCGCCACCTGGTGGCCTCCCGGGTGATGCACGTCTCCAGCCAGGCTGCTCTGCGTTCTCCAGAGAAAGGGCTCCGTCTGATGACTCAGGGTTCCTTCCTGAGGCCCCCTGGTCCAGCTGGCCTGAGTATGAGACCTGGCCTGCGTACCCGGGGTTGCAGCAGGAGATCCAGGCTCAGCTTAAGGCTTTTAGAGATCTCCACGCAACGCAAGGATTATGATAGCCCCAGCCCATGCGGAATTTGCAATAAAAATACGAACCGGAACATCATCGTGATCTTCCCAAATGCAAGACACCCTTCGTGGACGCTGTGTTCAATTCGCTTTGTTTCAAAGCTGTTTGATCTCTCTCTCTCTTTATATATATACACACACATATGTATGTATAAATTATATACATTTAATTTGCAAGGGCACATGCAGTGGAGACACACACAGAGAGGAAAGTGAGAAAGGATCTCCCTCGCAGGGAATGGTTGCACCGCGCCCCCTTCTCCACTCAGACCGCCCTAACCGCCACCGCCAGGCGGCCCTAACCGCCACCGCCAGGCCCGGCCGGTCACATATCTTGGCGCACCGCGGCTGTCCTCTGCATTCTCCTCTGTGGAATGAGAACCACCACCAACTTACTTTGAGCTTGGGCTTCAATGGCGTGGTGGAAGGGGCCTGGGGAGGGGAGGGGGATGCGGAGGCCTGGGCGGCTTGGAAGAACCGCGTGATGCCTGTGCTCCTGCGCTCAAAATCCGAAAGGAGGGAGGCATGGAGGTGAGAGGGTGGCGCTGTGGCCCCCCCAGTGCGGGGTGACTTTTCTCCCTGCTCTTGCTCTCTCTGGTGAGCACATGAGCCCCCTGCCAAAATGTTCCAGTTGCTGTGGAGTCTAGGAGGAAGGGGGGATGGAACAGGGCCGGGGAGGAGCCGGAGAGGCCCCGTCCTCACGCCACTCCCCCCCAGGAGCCGTCGACGTCCAGGTCCCTGAAGACCCGGTGGTGGCCCTGGTGGGCACCGACGCTGTCCTGCGCTGCTCCTTCTCGCCCGAGCCCGGCTTCAGCCTGGCGCAGCTCAGCCTCATCTGGCAGCTGACGGACACCAAGCAGCTGGTGCACAGCTTCGCCCAGGGCCGCGACCAGGGCAGCGCCTACGCCAACCGCACGGCGCTCTTCCCGGACCTGCTGGCGCAGGGCAACGCGTCACTGAGGCTGCAGCGCGTGCACGTGGCCGACGAGGGCAGCTTCACCTGCTTCGTGAGCATCCGGGACTTTGGCAGTGCTGCGGTCAGCCTGCAAGTGGCGGGGGAGAGGAGCAGGGGCGGCCGA